GTATGAAGGGTCCTTGATGTTCTCCGAGTTTGGTTGTTTTGTTGCAGATGTTTCATTACCCAAACTAGGTTTGTAGTTTGTAGTATGCCAACAATGGCCTGAAATTTTGATCCCAATGTCATACCACAATATGACAGACTAATATCTACACCTGACCATCCAAAGCGGCTCCTAAGGACTACCAATAACAATATGTACCCTGAATCCTCCACATCAGATTGCTGAGTCTATGAGCTTCCATCTCCTTCCCCAGATGCCCTGTCATGATGCATTGAGTGGTAATAAAAATTGGCAGCAAACCCCAAGGCTTGGAATGCTGCTACCAAGCATGGTTCCTCAACAAAAGAAGCAAAGTTCTAGAAGATTCTTTGTCATCAGATCTCAGCCTCCTGATTATCCCTGTCCCTGTATAATTAGAAAAGTGGATCAATTATAACTTCACACAGCTGCACTAGTGGCTGGAAGTATTTCATTACCAAAGACTGGAATGAAGAGGTGGCCAAGGAGATGGTAGTGTCAGCAAAAACAGAAATGGAAATCACACCCACTCAAACATACAAAGGCACACGCCACACAACCCTTACTACCGCTACTTCAGCAAGATTGAATTGTGTAAAGATAATTATTTTTTTTTCACAGATTCAGTAACTTGCAGCCTTCGCTTTCTTTTCATGTTACAAACTTTATCAACAAATATTCTGCTGCCCTAACATATTTTTCTTCCCAGGATTATTTGTAACTTACTTTCTCTGTTCCTTGAGATATGATTTTTTTTCATTTTTCCCATAAGGAACCTATTTCCAGCAGCATTCTGTTAATGTTCAGTTCAAGAGCATGGAACATGCAAGTATGGAATTAGGACAGGATATTTATTTATAAACATTTTTCAACGCTTCATAGAGGTAATTTCTCTAGAAAAGAGTAGCCAGAAAAAAATAGATGGATTTTGCAAGGAAAGATAAATGAGGAAAGATTTTGCACAATAGGATAATTTTTTTCCTTAAAGTGGGTCACCTCTGACTGCAGTTGAAAATTTACACATTTGAATAAAAAATCCTACATACCAAGCAAATTTAAAATGTCAGGATATTTCAAAAATGATTCTTCTGCAACATACCATTTCTGACAGGCAAAGTGTTAGAGGTGAATGCAGATTTGCAACAGGCTTATACCAGTATTATCTTTCTTTCATAAAAACCTCTCATCTCCAAGTATCCTGAGATGGCACAGCAAAAATTTTTTGCTTGTATATATCAGACAAATGTAAGAGGACAAATGTTACCCACATCATCAAAAAGAGGGGGAAAAGAAGATACAGGGAACTGTAAACCAGTCCATTTGACATAAATGCCTGGGAAAATCTAGAGCAAATGATAAAGAAGTTGGATAAAGAATGCAGTTATCACCAAGATTATTATAACATGGATTTGCAAAACTAACCTTATCTGATTTTTTTTATTAAATAAAAGCTTCCATAATAAATGGTGTGAATTCTGTAAACCTACTATATATTGGTTTCAGCAAAGTACTTGAAGTATCCCATAGTATTCTGATTAGCATTAATTTAGGTTAGAGGGCATGACAACAAACTGGATACATAGCTGGCTTGGAAATCACACATAAGTGATTATGAATAGTCATTGACTACAAACTGAGCATGTCAGTAGTGTGATTTGGCTGCAGACCTGCTTATTCTACGTTCAGCCACATTAGTTATAGACATATACTTTCCAAATTTCAGAAAGAAAAAGTCTACTATAATCTGCATTGTTCATAAACAGCAGTCAGACAAATTGGAAAGGTTTATATAATAATGAGGATTAAGGGACTAGAAAATCCTGTGAAGAGAGACTGAAAGAAATAAAGATTAGTCTTAAGAAAAAATAGAGGTGGGATATAATAATATCAAATTGCTTAAGACTTAAAAGGATGCCACATGTAATAAAGTTCTCCAGAAGGTAGGATGTGAAATATTGGATTTATATTACAGAACATCCGATACCAACTTGAGAAGTGTCAGTAAGAACAATGTGACAGTGGAATCAAGTGCCCAGAGAGGCACCAAACTCGCTCCCTTTCACTTCATGTCTTCATGTGGAAATGAGAGAGACAGACACCTCTGTGGAATACTTCTGTCTGAATTCCTACAATGATCAGAAGATTGAATTTAATGGCTTAATTCCGCTCCTCCAATTCTCAGATTCTGTGAACTTGATCCTCTTTAAGGCCATTTCAGATTTTGTGGTTTTGAAATGTTAATACTTTCTTGTACATATTGAGGAAAAAGTATTCTCATTGATTCTGCAGTTTGCTGTGGTTCTGTTGAATTCGGGGAAGTTCAACAGGTGAGAAAATAGTGTGGGAATGTGTCCATATGACCTGTGTGTTGACTGACTTTACTGTTGGCCAGTGTCCAGGAAATCAGTCATTCCACTCTTACTTCCTGATGGATAGATGCAATAAAATCCCAAGCCAACATTGCCATCATCTACACCCCCCTTCATCCTCACTTGTTTTATTTTTCTGAAAGGCCCAGAGATTTTCACCTAACCAGGATTAATGATACACTCTTATCTGAATCACAAGACAGGTCTGCCCGAATTGTAGCATAATTGTAGGGTACAGTAAAATGTAACACAAAGCTGCTTTTACCCTCTCATGTTCAGTCAGAATCCAGTGTAGATAAACTCTATTTTGCAAGAATAATTTGAGTTATTATCTCTGCTTCCACTGTGTTGTATCACTCTACCACCTGATTATTTGCCTTTTCTTAGTTCCCCATGCTGCACCTCTAGACCAAGGAAGTGCAGCTTTAAAAAGAGAAAAGAAATGGAGAACGCTAGCAATACTGTAACGTTAGCTTTCCCATATATAGCAATATTCAATTAACAAAGTTGCTTCTCACATATGGTGCTTAAAAGTTTGTGAACTCTTTTGATTTTTCCACAGTTCTACATAAATATGTCCTAAAACATGATTTGTTCTCCACATGTACTAAAACTAGATAAAGAGAACCCAGTGGGGAAAAAATGAGTTCAAAATTATTTTTCATTTAGTACAGTATAGGGAGGGAAAGTTGTGGGTTTCCAGATGGTTTGTTAAACTACAACTTCCAGGGATTCCAACCAGTTTGTATATTGTGTAAGAGATGCCTACCTTCATCCTCTATTTCAGTCCTTCAGTTTTCATTTGTTGTCTCTCCTTCCATTCTTATTCAATCCCTTGAAACAGTAGTTTTCTCTCAAGTCCTTCTTCACTTTACCATCAGCAATTTCACAAACAAATTTAATACATTTTCAGCATGGGATATTGTACCAAACTAGCATTGACTCTTTTGTTAACAACCAGCTGGTGGCCAAGGCAAACCATCTGTTTTCAATGCTGCTCTGATTAGACCTCTCTGCTACATCTGATACCTTGAACTACCAATTAACTTTATAAATTAACTATTAATGTTCCACCTGAGGTTTATCTTCGTGCAATGATTCTACTCATGAGGTCTACTCATTTCTCTGCTCTTTTCTGTTATATGGAATGGTTCAACCTCCCAATCTTTGTCTTCATCGGTGTATCTCAGGCTTCAGTGTAGGTTCCCTTTCACTTGCTTTGAACTATTTAATTTCTTCTTGTCAGTTTAATTGTCTCATCTATGCTGACAATATATTTTGTTCTGGATGACCCAATGCATAAACCTCTTTGCAAAGTGTTTTCAGAAGGTCTTGGTCAGGCTCCCCCATCTCAACCTGAGCATAAGAAAGCAGAGATGGCTGCATTTCACCCTAACTATCCCATCTTCTCTCTTTCCATCTCCTCTATTTTATTTTCAGGGCTGTAGGCTGTGGGCCTGCTCTGTGGTGAGAAACCAAGGAATCCAGGTCAAGGAAGAACCCTCTATATGAATTTTCATCAATAAAACCACTAAAAAGCATAGCTTTCTTTGAATTACTGAAATGTTCCTTAAGCTCCTCCTGCTTTTCACACATTATTCATACTGATTCAGATCTTCTCCAAACATCCCTCCTTCTGTCTATTATACATCCCTATACTAGCTGGATATCCAGAGAAGTTTCAGTTACTGGTGCATTGGGCCACATATAACCATTCTCGGTCATTTTGAATATTTGCTTGGGGGGGGGGTTGTTATGCCTAACCTGATTGTGATCCTGCTACTAAAATAGCCACAATTATATGATAATCTTTTCTCATCTGGAACCAGGTTCTGTAATCTGATTTATCAACATTTTAAAAAGGACTATAAACAGGACCTTCATAAAGGTGATTTAATAATCACTTCTCTAACCAAAATACAGTGTGTTGTTGTACCAAAATGTCAATGTCGCATTTGGATTGTGTCTACTTATGAAGGTGACTTAAAACAGTTACTGATATTCTACTTTGAGAGTTGTGTTAACTTTGACAGATGGAGTTTTTATAACAGAAGACTCGTTGATTTGGGTAGAAACCTAAAAAAAAAAAAGTAGCGTGCATTTAATGAATATAGAGGATCATTTTAATTCTAGGATCATGCATATATTATATTCACAAGCAATTGTACTGCTTTGTAACACCCATATTAAACCCTTACTCAGTGTGATCAAAGGTAGAACCTATATGTCTTTTTAAATATATGTGTAAAGGTCATTCCAATGCATTTAAAGCCTTTTGAATATTGAACTAGGGAGTGATAGTGTGTGGATTGCAAATTGTGAGCTTGTGTACATATGTGAAACATTTGTAAACTGCCTACTAAGTCTTTGATGTAGAATTTAATATGATGTGAATGACTTAAAGCTGAAAACTGCTTGGGATGGAGGAGAATGATCAAGCCCCACAGAACATAACACTTCGACGAAACTGAATTTCAGACAGTCCAGTAAAAAAACTAAGGAGAATCGCCCCTCTGTTACTGCTCCAATGTTGACAACTTGGGGACTACGTCCATCTCTCCTCCAGAGTACTCTTCTCTAGGTCCTGTCCCCTAGGCAACACCGTCCTTGCATTCCAGACGTCTCCTGTGTTTTTGCTGCCCATGAGATAATATTCATTGCTACCAGACATTTGCGTCAGTGACAGATAGTCTCAATGCCATCATGCCCCAGCTTGGCTCAATAAAGAAATCAGGAGGCAGAAGGAGCTGGGCAGATTCAACAGAAGAGTCAGTCTACCTCATCCACGAGACAAGACTTCCCTACACACATTCTGAGCCACCAAGCAGTATCGGGGAACAGTGCCTCAGCCGGAACTCTTACACACAGGCAAGAGCATTTTTTTTTCTTTGCAAGAACTTCACACAGCCTGCATCTCGTTCCCTCGTACCTGATGGATCAAAGCTTTCTGCACATCTGGACCAGGATGAACTTCATGCTGATCCTGCAGCTGATTTTGCTAGGTTCTGCTGCTGTTGCTGGCTGCAACAGGGATGCTGACAGGCCATTCATCCTGGCTAAAATCAAGGAACATTTCCTGGACTTTCTTGGTCCTGTCCCCCAAAATGAAAAGATCCAAGGGGGACAAAGGGGGCTCCACAGGCGGCATACCTTGGACACAGAAGTGACTCGCAGCTTGGAGGAAGAAGACCTATCCCAAGTGATTGCCTTCCCAACCCAAGGTAAGCAGAACCATAATTCAAGGGGTCCTGGGAGGTTTAAAGAAAAAGTGCAATCGTTATTTTATCATCTAACCCATTTCAACAGATGCAGGAACAAATACTGAGGTTAAGCTCATGTTGTGGATCCTGCACAGAGCAGAGGGTTGGACTAGATGATCTTTTAGGTCATGTCCAACTGTATGATTCTATGAAATCATATAGCAGTGAACTTCATTCCAGAGATGTGCATGCACACACAAACACACATATTTTGATTTTATTCTAGCTATAGCAGAAATTTAAGCCAGATTCAGCAGTTCAAACTCAGCTGATGCTGCCAGTGTGGGTGTTCTCGGGTATCTTGGTGGCTTTGAAATATTTCACTTTTCCTGTAGATATGCACTCCGGTTTTCTTTCTAGTTGTTCAGAAGTCTCATTGAATTTAATGCAATTAACAGGAGATCTTTACCTGTCCTTAAACATAGGTCTAATTGGATTCAGATGGATTATTTCCAGATAACAAGATATAGTATTTCAACCACAATTTGTAATGTTATATTCTTTTATTTGAGAGTTAGTCTCAGTGTGACTTACTTCAAAATAGGCAGGTAACACTGTTCTGTGACTTCATAACGAACTTGCAACCTTAAGCTTTTTGTTACACTAACATAAACCCGCTATTTTAGATTCTGCAGGTGCTTGTGTGTTGAATTGCCTCGTTAGGAAATATCTTTCAAAGAGATCTCAACTTTCCACAATCCAGATTACTGACGTGGGTTTATGTCTGAATAGGAAATGAGATGTAATGATGGTATGCAGAAAAAAAAGGGGAGGTAGAGGAAGACAATTTAAAATCCATAAAGGGAGAAATGACTCACTAGAATCATGTGAACTTTGAATATTATCACTCTTGCACATACACATATTCTTTTACAGGTTTGCTAGTATTGCTGTATCTGAGCTGCAAAAGTCCAGATTTCCATTTTACAGGAAGAAAGAATTATGGTTGGAAAGAATTATGTATCTCTTTTCTGCCATCTTGTGGCTGTCCAGATTTTGGCAGCCCAGTTTTGACAGCTGTAGCTTCCTCAGCACTTTCTTTGGAATTTATTTAGTATTAAATACACAGGTCTGCATTATGAATACATATGTATTAATGTACAGATGAAAAACTTCAACAGTAAGCCAGGCAATATTTGTATGGGATTCAGTTTCCACAACTGCAAGATTTTGCTGTCGTCTCACATGTAAACATATAATCAGAAAAATTCTTTTTCTGAAAAACAAATGTTATTAAAAGGCATGCGCTTATGCCTTTTGATAAAAATGTGCAAGTTAGAACAGGTGGTATCAGTTTCTTCCTGTGTGTTTGTTTGTTTGTGGGGTTTTTTTTTTTGCTATCACAGCTTAACCTTGTTCTCCTCCTACAGTGTAAGCATATAGCAACCCAGCCAGTTATTAATCTAATAAAAGAAAGAACTTGGCTGCATTTTTTGAACCTGCCCTAATAAAGGGAAAGGAGGCTTCAGAGTCATCAACACTTGTTCTTTCTTCTTTCACTTCTCATTCTTCCAGTCTAGGATAGCCTACAGCAGGGGTCTCCAACCTTGGCAACTTTAAGACTTGTGGACTTCAACTCCCAGAATTCCTCAGCCAGTGAGGAATTCTGGGAGTTGAAGTTCACAAATCTTAAAGTTGCCAAGGTTGGAGACCCCTGGCCTACAGTATGTAATGCCAAGTCCCATTAATCCTTCTCCTCTTTTGCAGAGGTATCCTGTGAGCCACTTCAGCCAGATGAGCTTCCAGAGGATGAGGGAGTTTTCACCCACATTTTTCAACCCTCAATACATATCCTGAGTCGTGAGGTGACATCAGCCCAGCTGTGGTTCTACACGGGCCCTGTGATCGTTCAGAACAGCCCTTTAGAAGCTGCCTCTAGCAACAACTCCTTCCCAGAGATACTCACGCTCTCTGAAGAAGGCCAGGTTCCTCTAGCTACCATGGCAATGCCAGCTCCTGAGGGCTGGACAGTCTTTCATTTTAGAAGATCCTTCTTCCATTACCTTTCCCAGAATGTATTTGTGCTCTTCATTCGTTGCCTAGGCTGCCCCTGTGTGGCTGATGCTGAAAAGATGCCTTTCCTTGTGGCAACCACCAAACCCAAGACACCAGACCGGGACCGGCGTTCCTTAAAAGAAAATTTTCTAGCTAATCTCACTTTGTTCCAGCATAATGCTATGCCCCATGACAATTGCCACCGCACCTCCATCAACATCACTTTTGAAGAACTAGGATGGGACAATTGGATCGTGCATCCTAGCAGCTTTATGTTTTATTACTGTCATGGAAACTGTTCCGGAATCCAGACTTTGATTCCCAACTCCCAGGATTGCTGTGCTGCCTTGCCAGGCACCATGCAGTCTCTGAGAGTCCGTACCACCTCAGATGGTGGCTACTCCTTCAAGTATGAGACAGTGCCCAACATCATCACCCAGGACTGTGTCTGCATATAGCAATAACTCAACTTTAGCAATATAATCCTCTCCTAAAGGAAAGCTATTGTCTTGCTCAGATCTGTTCACTCTAAACCCTCTGCAACAAGATATCTTCTTCATATGAACCCAGAACTAAAGCACTTCTACTCAGGGCTTAATAGTGCCAGTGCCTTATTTTTTTCACTGTGAAGATTGGCACCTCTGGCCTTCACAGCCAGATTTGGAGGCCTCACAACATCTCATTTGCCCTTGGATTTTATTGACAGAAGCTAAAATCAGAATGGAGAACCAGGACTGGAGTGGAGAAGCTGTTTAATCTTCCCCTTTTGTTTTGTTCACTCAAAAGTGCCTCTGCTCAGCTGATTTCCCACCCACAGAATAATTTCAGGTTGGAGAGGGTGATATTGAGCAGACAGGAAGGGATATGATAGTCTTCTCCTCTTCCTCCTCCTCCTCCTCCTCCTCCATTTGTTCCTTCTTGATGACAGTCCACAAGAAAAGCAAATGAATGCATGTATTTTGCATTCTGTTTTTGCCTGACTGTCTTGAACCTATATCTCTGAACAGAACAAGAAGTGCAGTCCTGTTTTCCAAAACTAGAAAGGAGAGTTTAAGGAGTCTCACAACCTGAGAAAAAGAATAGTGTGTGTGTGTGTGTGTGTGTGTGTGTGTGTAGATTCTTATTAATCATAGAACAGTCATACACTCTTTCAATTAACTCTCTGAATTCTAGGGATCTGAATGCTTCCTTTTCAAAAATCATCTCATTTGCCCTTGGATTTTATTAACAGAAGCTAAAATCAGGATGGAGAACCAGGACTGGAGTGAAGAAGCTGTTTAATCTTCCCCTTTTGTTTTGTGGGGGAAATTGCCCATTTTTGATGAATGATTAATGATCCTCAGTCCTGACATGCTACATTTTCATTGTGTCTTTCTTTCCTTGTGCTCTTTCAGACAAATTTACCCTTGAGGTTCTACAAACACAAAGAGGAAACTTGCAGCAGATTGCTTAGCTTCTCGACCACCTCCTTTCTTATTTGCCAAACGAACCAAAGGCTGTGGAATAGGACATATATGTATATATTCTGATAAGAGTTATATAGACTCTTATATAATGTTTGTGTGTGTGTGTACACATACATACATGCAGATATACACATACAGATATATATAGTATATATAGTCTATATAGTTCTTATCAGAATATTGGGGAAGCAGGAAAGTGGGCCTATTTTAGAAATATTTAGAAATCTCTAATTTTAAAAAACGTTCAGTTGAATGCAGCAAGTACGGAGAGTTCTCAACTTACAAACATTCATCTAGCAACTGTTTGAAGTTACAATGGCATGGGGAAAAATGACTTATGACCAGTTCTTGCACTTACAACTGTTACAGCTTCCTCACGGTCACATAATCAAAATTCAGGCACTCGTATTTAAGGTGGTTGGAGCACCCCAGGGTCACGTGATTGCCATTTGTCACCTTCCTAGTTGGTTTCTGATAAGCAGTCAATGGGGGAAGCCAGATTTGTTTAATGACTACGATTCACTTAACAACCACAATGATTTACTTAACAACCATGGGCAAAAAGGTTCTAAAATCAGATACGACTCACTTAACAACCGTCGTGCTTAGGAGTGGAAATTCTAACCCCAATTGTGGTTGTTAAATCGAGGTCTACCTGGTTAGCTTGGTTTAGGAATTGGTGATGTCTGCCTTTGGCAGTAGTTATTGTCACTTGATAAATATTCCACCCAAGGAGGAAAATTTCAATTTCACTATTGAAATGGATGAAACAGAAGTCAATTGGTTTAAATAAGCACTGAGGATGGGGTGACTGCTTGCAACTGGAGAGTATCCTTAACCAGGTACACGGTGAGGTGGCCAGAGTGTAGGCGTCCCCTTGCTTTGTGAAGCTGGCATCCTAATCAGCAATCATTGTAAAAGCCTGGTTAAAAAATGTTTCCAAAATAATGACAGTTAAAATAAAAACGTTTATTCTCTAAAATTCTCAATGCTATTCAGTTGTTGTTGTTGTTTTAAAAGATGCAACTCCTGGGACAGTTTGTGCTCACTTTACTAAATAAAAAAAGTATAATGAATGTCGGGGGGGGGGAATGTTTTTCATTCTTGATTTCATATAGGTATTCTAGTGTAAATTCTTGCAGGTAAGTTTCAAGGTATTCGTTGAAGAGAAGGAAGCAGCCGAGGAGATGATCAATTTGGCTTCAAACTCCAAGATAGCACTAGGATACAGACACAACAGGATGAGAGCCAGCCATTGGTTTTGGGTGGTGGATGAGTGGGGATATGTGGACAAAGGGCCCAAAATGGACAAGGTCAGGATTTTGTTTTTCTGGGCTTGGGAAAGGTTTTGTATATTTCTTACTGCAAAGAGACAGGAAACAATGACTTTATTTTTCAGCAGTCATGTTCAAAGGATGTCCTGAAGACCATCAAACAACAGGTTCAGGCTACATACCATCCAGACTCCAGAGGAACAAACTATGTGTTTGGATTTGACTTTCTCTATTACATGAACCCAGACAATAGTAGTTTATTTATTAAAATACGGTTAAACAAATCATAGTGTAATATAGTAGATGAACACACTATTTATGCATTGAGATGTATGTGCATAATGTACTGAATTTATGACTTAATACGTCTATCTACTGCTTCTTAGAATGAAGCAACACAAAGAGGTTTATAATTAAAGCAGCTATAAAATAGATGCAACAGTATAAAGCAACATTTGGTGAACCTTAAAATATATTTAATAAAAAGTAGAGGGGCATTTTTCCACTCTTCAAACAAAAGAAGCTTGCTGGCAATATTTCCCACTATCTGGGTCCTCAGATTACCAGCTAAACAGTGAAGAATGCAATCAGAAGCCCCAAGTCTTTGATGAAGGACCCCAAAGACTTTCAGAATTGACCCATAAATTGTACCTTTACAGTGGAGAAATTACTAAGCGATGGGTAGTAATTTTACCAACTGGCAGCCTTGATTCCAGTGGCCTAGACGCCTGGACAATCAATCAATCAATTAATAAATCAATCATAGTCTTACATTTTAAAAAATAGAGATCTCTTTTATTCTGACTAGATGGCTCAATGGCTAAGACACTGAGCTTGTCAATCAGAAAGGTTGGCAGTTTGGTGGTTCGAATCCCTAGTACAGGTCTCCTGCGGGAGCAGGGGATTGGACTAGATGACCTCCAAGGTCCCTTCCAACTCTGTTACTGTTAAATACTGTTTAGCTGAGCTCCTAACTCTACTCTGGAGCCTGGTTATATTCTGCAGGTAATACCAAGTTTTGTCAATAGATGGCTCCCAAGGCAGATGAACAGAAAATACAGAGTTCCTTCATCTTGAGTCCCCTACTTGGCAGATACTGACTTTTGCAGAGTTCAGTGAAAGCAGTGTTTGCTGACAAGAGCCAAAAGGAGCAATCTCTTTCAAGATTTCATAGGCAGGGAAGAATGATACTATGTCATTCTGTTAACTATGTGCACCCCCACATTTTAGCCCAACATGCAGTGCAAACTCGGTCTGCGATTCTAGAAGCTTCACTTGAATAAACCATAATTCATTATTTGTAAGTAAATGCGTCCAGGTGTACACTGCCAATATCTTAAGGCGACCAAAAAGTATTTCTTGCAGGTGTGAGAACAAGGGATTTAGGAGGCACGTTTACTACATGGTAAATAAAAGCATTGTCTCATTCCTGTCCCCAACTCTAATTAGGTTTTGCTGGAAGTAATAGATCTCGGAATGGAAGAGCACACAGAAAAATACAGGTCATCATACTCCAAACAGCATGGAAGGTAGGATGGGAAAGCTGTGAGAAAGGCTTCCCTGTATGAGTAGGAACAGATTCACAGATGGTAACAGTCAGGTTTAACTTGTGGCCTAACTTGTAGGAAAGGTATGTAAGGGTGAACAGCAGTCAAGGAGGTCTCACCCTCCTGCCCATGCTTGCAATAGGCTGACCATTGTGTCACATGTTGGAGTACATTGTACCTGTTCTTCAGGCCCTACAATAGTTACCAGGTTTGTTGGTGCAAATTCAAATAAAACCCTAAATCAGAGGTGGGCAACTATGGCCCTTTTATGACTTGTGGACTTCAATTCCCAGAATTCCTGAGCTAACATGGCTGGCTCAGAAATTCTGGGAGTTGAAGTCCACAAGTCATAAAAGGGCCATAGTTGCCCACCCCTGCCCTAAATGCAACAATAACTTGTTGCTTAGGTGCCTCCAAGATTGCCTTCCCCTACCTGAACTGGTGCATCGAAAGTTCATCTCAAAATCTCTTCATTGCCCCCCACTTTTGTGAAATGAGAAAAATAAAAATCAAGAAGTGCAGTTTGTCAAGTTGTTTCATCTACCTTCTGTGGAACAGACGGTCTCCCTGTAGAATTAAGACTTGCACCATTCTTTGTAAAATTCTGGAAGCCACAAGAGGGACATTTTTCCAAAGAACATCTGGGTGAATAGTTTGCTACTGCCATCTATATTTTACTTTGAATTACTTATATCAAGCTATTGTTTTTGTTACAAATTATTTTTCATGTTTACTTTTAATAATTATTAGTTGTTTTAATTAATCTTTACCATGAGCCCTTTTAATTGTTGGGAGTTCTTATAGTAAATTGCCATCCATCTGTACTAATTAAACTTGTACAGAAGGAAAATAGCTGATCATCTGAATCATTCCTTTTATTCATGCGTGAGACAGACCCTTCAATATTTTAGGGACCCGTGGTCCTACAAGTTTAGGAAGACTCTGGCTTCAGGGAAGGTGATCATTTTCCACAGGTGCAATTTCAAAACAACTTTGCAAGGAAACAATCTTGGACTGACACCTTATGGCTTAAATGCTGCTTTTCATTCTGGGACTTCCTCCCTGTCAGGAAGCACTATTTGGGAAATCAACCAGACACCGAATCCTGGAAGAAATCATGACCAGCAAAAGGATTTTTTAAAAAATACAACACATAATTCAATTTTAAGATTTGCTATCACAAGATGTGAAGATGGCTACCAGCTTGGCTGGTTTCCGAAAAGGGTTGGACCAGTTTATGAAAATCAAGGGGTTAATGACTGTTTGCTTTGATGGCAGCATTACTGCCCTTAAGGCCACCTGCTGGGAGACCTGCGGGCTTCCTTGTGCAGCTGGTTGAGCGCTGTGAGAAGACGTCTCAACCAGAGACAAAGTTGAGACGTCTTTGTAGATGGGACAAAGGCCCTGTCTGACAGGACATTGCTTATATTCATATAGTGTTGCCTGGCAATAAGGTGATTGGATTTTGCCTCCTCCCAGTTCTTGGCAACACACTCCCTGAGAAATGCTTCTGTGTTAAATTGGCACAACTCTGACCCAGGATAAGGCACTTCTTAAGACACCCCAGCTCCATTTTAATAACTGCTCTTAGTAAAGCTACCCTAAAATTCATAGCACACTTCATGACTTTTTATAAAAATAAGATTGAAATGGGTGTATTAAGCTTCGACGTATTAAACCTGTCTTCCTTCTTTTTAGGAAAATAACCCAAATTATTAACCCTCCAAATAATATACACATATATATACACACACACACCGTTCCTATGGTGTTGGAAAGTCCCAAATATTTTATGGATTTAACCCAGCTGCAAAATAATGATGCCTTCTCCTGCCTTACAATATTTATTGATTTGCTGGGATCCACGTTTTTCCCGCTGTGAAGTTAGTGAGGTTTTATGATTACAACCAAGGCATCCTAATCTTCCATAATTGTGCAAACCTTACTAATTACTTTTCCCCCCTGCAAAAAGAGTCAAGACATCAGGATTGCTATAAAAAAAATCTTGATTTTTTTTTTACCAAATATATATATATATAAACTGTATATATTATACATCCATATAAAAGAACAAAAATTCAGAACTATTACGGTAAATTATATATAAAAAAAATTAAAACGTAAAAAACATTTCATGTCTGTCTCTGAGATGACTCAAACGTGACTTTGGTCCCCCTGCCATTCAGGAGGAACCAAGCACAGCCCCCCACAGAGGGCAAGGAAGGCAGATGCTGCTCATAAGCCAGCATCTTGGAATGCAGCAGAATTATCTTTGGCCCAACCACCAATCTCTTCCATTATCTGGTGGTCAGGGAAGAGGAAACAAAAGATGAGGGAGTTTGACTTGTGTGCGCAGACGAATCCTGAGCAAAATCCTGGAAAGTTGGAGATATCCTCTTATATACAGTAAACTGAAATAATATAAAGTATAAAGGAGGAGACAATTGCTATGTAGCTAGTAATTCAGTACCATTGGGAAGAGGTGAAAAAAGACAAAATGTCCTCTAGGTAGAACAACAGTACCTCTACAACATGTATAAAAGTAAAAAAAAAAGTTTCCCTTTTAGACCCATAAAAAGACACACATACAAAGACTTATGAAAGTAATCATTACAGCTGCCCCACCCACCCAGATCTGGAACCTGGGGATTCATATTATCTCCTTTTCGCTTTCGGAGCATATTCTCATCCCCCCGACTTTTCGGTCAGGGTACTTCCAAACATCAGGCTTATTTATGTGCATTTATGTACATGCTTTCAGTTCCCTCCATTTCTTCTTGTCACCTGGGCAGTTGTCCAGTGCTTCAGAGACCTGGAAATAAGAGGAAAAGGGTTTTTAGTCTCTCACTCCGATCTCTGATCCTTTCATTAATTCTTGGGGGTTCCCAGCTTTTCTGGGGATATATGATTCTGCCTCTTCATACCATACACACAGCTGAGATTTATCCATCAGTACCCATGCATGTTTTTTTTTTCTATGCCAGACTTTACATGCCTTTCCTAGCAAATGATACATTTGAACCCAAAACAGCTGGCAATTCAAAACCTCATGGAGAAATTATGAGAAGTCCTATTGTCATTATAGTCTTCAATGAGGGGTCCTTGCTGCTCTCTGAGTTTGGCTGTTGTCTTGCAGATGTGTCATCACCCAAAGTAGGGTAACATGTAGCGAAACGTCTACAAGACAACAACCAAGCTCAGAGAACACCCAGGACCCCCCATTTCAACCCTGAGTGACAAATATTCCCCTTTATTGGTAGCCTTTAACAACATTACTTGGAAAAGGAGGACATTCTGAGAAGGGTACAGATTACTGATGCAATTCAAAACCACCCTAATCATTCTCCCTCAGTATCAAATTTGGCCTTCCATCATGCAACTCACCATCTTGAGAAGAGCCACTTAATGAGAAAAACTGTTCATTGCCCCAGGCATGTTGCAAAGAGAGCTTAGAGGCACGCTTGGTTCAGAGAACTTATAAGTGGACCCAACAGCTAACAGCTCCAAGAAACCAACCATTCACACCAATTACTTTTTAAGCATAATCACATTCAGACTCAGAATAAGGGCTCCTGCCAAGATAGCCCATTTTTGCTCATCGATGGTTGACTTTTCTAGCACGTTGTCACTGACCTCCAAACAAAACCTTGTTCCCCATCCCCACTTACCACTTGGTCGTTCACAAGCTGCCCCTTCCTTCTCGTGGGCCAAATTGAAGCGATTCTGTTCTGCAGCCAGTCCATTAGATTCAGGGCTGCTACTTCGCAAAGGGCTGGCGATACCCTCTGGCTGCATTTGGAAAGCCATTTCTAGATGCTCCTGGGCTACCCTCAGGTGCTTACGCAGTCGCTCCAATTCGTGGCTGGGGAGTCTTGACGCCACAGGGTAACGCTCGGCAGCCATGCTCTCTCCCCTGTAACCCAATTTCTCCTTGGCCAATTGGCCCTTGGAAGGATGTTTCTTCAGAGAGTGGTAGGTTGGAGGTGCAGAGGGATCCTTCTGAGCATATTGGGGCTTTGGGGGTGGAGCATCGTCCTTAAGGCCACGGAGTGCATCCCGGATCCCCCCACAGCCCAGGTGGAAGAGCTCACAGATATTGAGAAGCAGGCAGAGCCCACTTACAGCATACATGATGAGGAGGAAGATGGTTTTCTCAGTGGGGCGAGAGACAAAACAATCCACAGTGTGAGGGCAGGGGCTGCTTTTGCATATATATGAGGGGTTAACCTCAAACTGGTAGAGCATATATTGCCCCATCAGAAAGGCCACCTCAAAGGCTGAACGGGCCAGCAACTGCAGCACATATGCTGTCATCAAACCATCTTTTTTGATGCGCCGGCGGCCGTCATGCTTCTGGCTCTCAGGCTCCTTCACCTCCTTCTCAGGCTCAATCTCCTCAAAGATCATGGGGTCCTCCTCCCCATTGTCCTCTGCCTCCTCATAATCACGGGCAGCACCATGTCGCACCACAGGTGCCCGGCTTTTTCGAGGTGGTTGGCGTGAAAGCCGATGCAGTGCGAAGCCCAGGTACATCACCGAGGGTGTGGCTATCATAATGATCTGGAAAATCCAGAAACGGACATGCGAAAGGGGGGCAAAGGAATCATAGCAGACATTTTCACAGCCTGGCTGCTGTGTATTGCAGACAAACTTGCTCTGTTCATCGTAGTAGATCGACTCGCCACCGACAGCAGTCAAGACAATGCGGAAGACAATCAACACTGTCAGCCACACCTTCCCCACAAAAGTTGAATGCTGGTTGATCTCCTCAAGGAGGCGAGTCAGGAAGCTCCAGCTCATTTTGGCTCAGCGTAGGCCTGCAGCCAAGATACATAATAGGCAAAAGGTTAAACTGAGAGAAATTTGTCAGATTATTCCACTCTAGAAGTCAGAGAAAAGGTCCCCTCCTCACCCATCTCCATTCACCCCTGAAAGCATAAAGCATTAGGAAAACCAAAATAATAAAATGTTGAGATAAGAAAATAAAAGGAAAACACTGAAGGACACAAACAGAGCAATCCTGGAATGATAGTAGTAGGGAGAGCCAGCCTTATGACCTGTACAGGACAAAGATGTTATTTTTCCGTTCTTTTCCTTTCATCTCTCACTGCCCACAATAATAAGAATTAACTGCAGAAATGTCAGAGTTGATGAATCTCAGAGAAATGCTCGGGGTGATGTCAGTAGAGAAATGGACTTCTGACTCTTTGATCTATGACCTTCTTTGACAAAACACAACTCCAGAAGACTTAGTTTTAATCCCTAATAGGGATGAAACAAAAACACTTTTCTAATGTTGCATGACAGAGATCCCCAGGAACACGTGCCATCCTACCCCAAAGGTGCCTTCGTCAGCAGCACTTTCTACCACACGCCTAGCCCCTTCTGTAAACATCTGGAGGAAAATAAATACCCAGCCTCTGCTACTACTTTAAAACTTCCTTCCTTTTAACAAAACTACGTAACATCAGCGTCATGTCATCCAAAACTGTATTTGTTTGTTTATATATATAATTGTAAGCAATAACTTCAAGAAGTTTGCTTTTTTTTTCTTCTTCAAATGCTAGTAAGAAAACTTTCCCAGGAAATTCAAGAGTTTCAGATTCTGAACTTTTCCTTTGAATCCTCATGGGCTTCAGAACACGCACATGAACTAATAATACTTGCTCTCTTGTTTCTTGATTTCAAGTGCATATTTTCCAAAGGCAAATCAGTTGCATTCAAATGCTAGTGGGCTTCCCAAACTTTTTCTTTAGATTTGATTTTTTTTTTAATGGATAAGATTTCAGGAGATCACCAACTACAAGACCTCAGTGAAACCACTTGATGTGAGATTTTTGGCAAGAGCCACTAAATTCATTGAACTTCACATCCAGGAAGGACTTAACAGTAAACAACTTCCAATATTGGAAGAAAATTCCAATACACCAGCATGGACTACCATACTTTTCGGAGTATAAAATGCACTTTTTCCCCCCTAAAAGAGGGTGGAAATGTTGGTGCATCTTATACACTGAATACAGCCATTTTTGGCCTCCCGAAACCCCGCCCTATGTCCCATTTTTGCCAAAAACAGACCCGTTTTTCACAAAAGCAGGGTGCACGGAGGGTTTGGGAGACCTGCAGAGTGCTCCTGGGGGCTGGGGAAGGCAAAAATGTGATGAGTGGAAGGTTTAGGAGGCCAAAAACGGGCCCACCTCCCAAACCCCCGTGTCACGTTTTTGCCCTCCCTGGCCCCCAGGAGCACCCTGCAGGCCTCCCAAACCCTCTGCGCATCCCATTTTTGCAAAAAACGGGCCCATTTTTCAAGAGGGCTGGAGAGGGCAAAAACTTTTTTTTTTCTTGTTTACCTCTTCGAAATCTTGGTGCATCTTATGTGTGTCTTATAGTCCAAAAAATACGGTAATTTTAGTACAAGACTAATTTTAGTACAGGACTAATTTTATTTATAAGGAGTTGTACAGAAAGATTATCTATTAGCTAAAATAATCTTTAAACTTCACCTTAGAAACAAAGAATTTAATCAATATTTATCCAAACACAACTTCTATTTAAAAGATGAGGAAATTGTCAGATTTGAAAACAGATTTTCCCCAATCTTCCCAGTATCTTTCCCCAGGCTTTCAAAAACCACTGAAGCCAAATTACATCAAGCTTAGTTTCATTTCCTTAAAAAAATTAACTTATTAGGAAACCTCTCTAATGCTGTGCCAATCTCCACAGCAATTGAATACATTACTTTTTAAATATGTACTACCTGTAACATGCATATGAACACACACACACAATTTCACATAAAAACACATGAATTTATAGAGGCAAAGAGACAAGAAATGCAAAATTGGCCATGGATTCTTACCAGTTTAACATATATTGGCTTCCATACATTGTTTAAAAGGTAGCAATTTATCACCCCAAGAGAATAGACTAAGAAAGCAACTGTTCTTTCCCTCCCTCTTTTCTCACAGTTCATAGATTCAGCTCAAAGCAAATTTGTGGTCAAATGAAGTATCAGAAAAGTCTTTTATGGCAGCTTCAAGGAATCCAACTTGGGTTGGGAGATAGCACCTAGGAGGAGAAGGCACCTCTTCTCAAGTCCTCATCTAAGCTTCATCTCCCAAATTAATATCTCTAAAGCAGGGCTGTCAAACTCGCAGCCCATGAACTGGATTCATCAAGCGCTGGCCACGCCCATGCCCAGTTTAGCGAAGGGGGAAACATTATGATACGTCACGTGATGACACTGTGATGACACGAGTTTGACACCCCTGCTCTAAAGGAAAAAACAAATGCACAATTCAGGTATCTGTAAGTTTCCTTGAAGCTGGATTTACTGTAAATTTCAACCCTTCCTTCTCTAGGTAATTGTAATCCTTCTCCCCAACAATGCTTTTTTGCAACAAAGACAAAGTGCAATTCCAGCACATGGACACCATCTCCCTAAAAACTCATATGTAGTCATCACAACACTTCATACACAAGGCTGAAGAGATGTGAAGCATGTCAACCAAGCTGGATAGAAGCAATGATTTGTAAGGGTGAATTTTAATAGACTTTTCTTTTTCCTGTTTCTTCACTGTCCATTTAACCCTAAAATCCATGAAAGAGGTTTGGCGAAAGCTCCTTCTGTGAGTCAGTATGTCTTAGTTGTTGGATGGATGCCACATCCTGGCAAACTAGGATGGGCATGACGCTCCAGTGCTCATGCACAATGAATGTGTCCTGAAGTAAGGGAGGTACCCATAAAAGGATGCCATATAGTAGAAACTGTAATCCTAGGGCATAGTTCTGTTCTTCATTGATGCTTTCTTGCCCAAGTCAAAGGTAGCAGGCTCCCAATGCTCTGTTTATTGCTTTCACCACCTTAATCTACCTTAATATAATTGAGAATCAAACACAAAGCAGTGAAACCAAGTTTCCAGATGGGACTAGAGACCTGATCAAGAAGCAAATAAAAACCCTTGACTTTGCCAATCACAAGAAGGTCGAGAATAGATCATCTCATTCCACCCTTCCCTTCCCCAAAGAAATCTCTTTTCAATCAACTGATGCGTGCAGGAGACATCCGAATCATCTACCTCCCAATATTGGTGACTGGACATAATGATTTGATGACCACAGTGTAGCTATCAGAGTAGCTTAAGGGTCTGAGAAGGCAAGGCTTTCCACTGCATTAAGCATGAAAACTACAACTATGTAATTTATTTTATCTTACTAAAGGAGGAGAGCTCATAGGCTGTCAGTTTTGTAGGTATGATCTACTCTATAGATCTAGAAACCAGGGTGGATTTGATTTAAATCAAGTTGATTTAAATCACAATTTAAATCATGATTTAAATCACTAGTAAAAAGGCTTGATTTAAATCAACTCAATTTAAATCATAATTTTTAAAGAGCAACTGTCATCTCTGCTACTCCTTTGACCCACTGTTGACTCACCGATAGTCCCAGTGTTGCAGAATATACAGCCTCATGCTACATAACTAAGCTCCATTTCATGCTGAATAAACTAAATTATTTATGTATCTTAAATAGAAAACTATCTTACCATAGATTTTTACCCCAAAAGTTTTTTATTAAAATAAATTCGATAAAAATCAAAAAAATCCGATTTAAATCAAAAAAATCTGATTTTTTTGATTTTTTTAAAAATAATCATTGATTTTTATCCACCCTGCTAGAAACAGTCAAATGTAATAATTTAATCCCTTTAAATTTAATTTGCAATCAGGAAACTTGGGTGATAAAAAGGATCATCTGGAAGTAATGAAGCAGAAGCAATGCCAAATGCTTTCATTCTGCACTCTCCTTAATAACAGAAAAATTTGCTTAGGTCAGAGGTCCCCAAACTTGGCCGCTTGAAGACTTGTGAACTTCAACTTCCAGAATTCTCCAGCCAGCTGGAGAATTCTGGGAGTTGAAGTCCACAAGTCTTCAAGCTGCCAAATTTGAAGACTTCTGGTTTAGGTCTACCCACCCTCTCCAGATTATGCTCAAGGACACAATCAGTGCAAGACTTAAAATAGTCTTTTGCTTTGATTTTTGTATTTGCCTTTTTTCTTATCCTTGAAATGAGAAAAGATCCTCAGTGGTAAAAGAAAGGGACTATTTCTAAAATGTTCATGTTAACTAACAATATAGTGGAGAAACAGTGAAACATTTTGCTAACGTTAAAGTGACACTCCTCAGAATGTGGCCAATTAACTTAATTCAGTGGGGTTAGGGGTGGCACACACAGGACAGGACTTGTTTAATCAATGTCATATATTTGGAGGTACCAATGCCTGTAGAATACATTGTTATCAATTGTTCGGAAAACAAGCCTCTGAATTCACAGAAATTCACTATATTACAGGATTTGGATTCCCCCAATACTTGATTTTTTAAAATAATAAATGAATAACACATGATGAGTAAGATATGAAACATCAGCCTTTCCTATTTCCAAACTAAGATGAGTGTTCTACCCTGAATCAATCAGTTTATCACCATTACTATATAATTAAATCCAGCTGACTAATCCAACAGGAATATTATCATTTATTTACCTAATCAGCACTAAAGACCAAAAGAAACAGAAATTTGGATGCCTGCCAGAAAACAAGTATAGCGCAACGAAAATAAATTAAAGCACACACAAGGTAATTCAAATGCGTGGGACAGAGAGCAGAGTGTCTGAGTCAGGTGGGAAGGGAGTGGAAGTTGAGAAGGACTAACTGAGGCAGGTGAGCAGTATTATACACTCAGATTTTAAATATCTCCTTTAAAGAGAAAGGATATCCTCCCTCACTTCATAACTCATCCTTTATATAGCATTTACTGATAATAAAAACATTCAAAATACACTGGTTATCAAGGTGTGTGTAGCTACAAAACACTCAAAAGCATGCTAGTAGGCATTTACTGTTTTCCTATTTAACACTTAATGTTTAATTCCAGAGACAGAAGATTGATTTGAATCTATTGCTAAACACCAGCAAAAATAACTTTACCATCAAGCACCCTCTTTCCTTAAGTGATACATCTGAAATGGAGAAAGTTTGCAGGCAGCAAACAGTGAATTTTGTGTGTATGAATGGCTGTGAGCTTTGTTTTATTTCCAAGACACAAGATTGTAAATGTGATTAAATATCTCACTCCCATCTCTGGCTGGTAAAACTTGTAGTAAATAAAACAAATTAAAGGAGATCCACCCCCATGCTACAGCAAAACTCCACTTAAAACATTTCTATGCAAGGAATATTTTGTGCTCAACTATGTCCAAAAAAGAAAATAATGTAATATGAGAAGGTACCCTCACTGTGAATAGCTGTTCCAGAGCATTCAAAACCCAATTACTTCAAGTTTAACAAATGCACTTTGTATGGTCCCAGCATTATTTTCTTTAAACACACAATGAAAGCACTCAGGAGCTACTTAGCTTCCAAGTGAACTCTGGGCTTAGGCAGTTTTGCAATTAGTTCGTGCTCCTTGTGGCTAAGAAGAATGACTAGTATGCAGGATCTGAAGATCCAAGGAGAGTCTTTTAAAAAACCTATCATACAAAGTGAATGGAATCCAGAGCCAACCTATAAGTCTTCTATCTTAAAATGAACGCAAGTCTTCATTTATTGTCTACAATTACGAGGCACAGCAATAATTGCAGCTTACAATCTGGAATAAGTTCATAACTCTACCCATTCAAATAAATCTTTTAAGTCCACAAAAAATTATTGTCACATTCCCTGCTAGTCTTAATCTTTCAGGCATGTAAGGAAATGACATAAGGATGGCCCTAAAGAAAAGGTCAGGAATGTGGAAGATAAAGAATTTTTCTTATAGCTGCTTTAACAATTTACAACTCCGTATCACCAGAGTGGAAAAATTTGTCTCCTCTTCCCTTCATTCTTTCAGGAAGCAAGTGTGTTGGGTTAAAAAAAAATGATGCAACATCAACAAGATCCCCAGGAAATTTCTTTATCCACCAAACCACAGTTTTGCTACCTGGACAAAAGTAATTTAGATCATTCTGATAAACCTTGTTTACTTGATCAGATAATAGCATTGGCAAATACCAATTACAGAGTCCGTTTAGCGCCTCTAGAAATACTAATTTGTGCAACTTTCCAGAATCAGGTGATCTCCATGAACCTTCTCCAGTATTTACAGTTCTTAGCCAGCACTGAAGGGCACTTCATCAGAACACAAGAATTCTAAATAATACTGTAGTATTAAAAGTTCAAGAGGCAGGGGTGGGGAGGTGGGGGGAAGCTGCCCAGGATGAAAAATGGTCAATATCCGCCATGTGCCTGGAGCCAAGAAACAACATCAGAGAACCAGCTGGCTTAGACTGCTGCCCAAAAGAATAGACACAGCTTGCCAAGTAAGTGAGAAGTGGACTTTCTTAGCCAATATACTTCCATCAGAGGTACCAAATCCCACATGGATATCATCTAAAGGGTTGGTCATTATACCCAATTCTTTATACATAATTTAAAGTATTGACTGCTAACAGGGCACTTTCTATCAAAATGGGGTAAATAAATACTTCACAATACACGAAACACTTAACTGCTCCGAAGCCCCAGGTATATATATCATCCTGCCCCCCCCCCTCTCTCATTAAGCCTTTTAAAAAAATAACCTCGCTCCAAAGTGATTTTGTTCCCAGTGGAAACTCGGATTGATTAAAAATAAGCCTAGCTTAATGCTTTTTAGGAAATTAGGGGCAAGAGGAGGAGGGTACCATCATCCTGAACAAAATAAGGTGGGGAGGGGGGAGTCGCTTAATCGGCAGTCCAAAATCAGGATCCGGGCAGAGGAACAGCACTACGATTCACGGCTCCGAAACAATGCATTTTCAAAGAACAAGCATTACTGTATCGCACAAAGGAACCAAAGCCTTCCATGCATAACGGGAGAATCCTTTCCTGAATGGGCAAACCGAAAAGGAGGGAAAGGCCAGGAATCCAATACTGGGGAAAGGGGGGGTTGCTCTAACTGCTAAGCAATACCTAAACGCGACCCCCCCACCCTTCTATTTCCCTCCCCGGGAATCCCGTATTGGCATCAGAGCCTCACTCCGCGAGTATCGGGACTGGGCTCCCTGCAGAGGAGCCGCGTGGCTCGGGAAGGCAAGACACCCCACTACCCTCAACCCAATCCATCCCGACAGGGTTCCCCCCCCCACCCCACCCCACCCCCGGCACCCCACTTACTGGATATACGCCCGGCGAACCTCACAAAGACGCGCGCCCTTGTGCAATTCCTCTTCTCCCGCCCGCCCGAACAAAGGGGCTTACAGACGGTCACCGCCCCCCGCCTCTTCAGCTCCGCCTCCAGGACGACCCCCGCCCCTTTTTCCTCCTCCTCCCTCCTCCCTCCCTCCGCCAGAGTATCCGAAGGCGAACGGATGGGAAGTTGGAGGTGAGCGGGCAAAAAGCCCGCGTGCCTCCAAGGGTGTGTTATACACGTCGACAGATATTCCCCACCCCAGTAAAGTGCGGCCCGCCTTTCTTTAGCGATCTAGCGGCGCAGGAGAAGAAAACAAAACTTTCCTTTTTGAGGGAAGGAGACGGTTCTCTGCGGAGCGAAAGCTGAGGCTCGCTCTGGTTTTCTTGGCGGTGGGGAAGAAGGTTGGGGAGGGGGGAGGGAGGAGAAAAATAGTCGCTTTTCCTTCAACACTCTGCAATACTTGCAACCAGTTAGGCGGCATTGCAGAACTGGAGGGGGGTAAAACCTTAGTGAGTCACGCGTGCCGTCGGGCAAAGCAGTTAAGGATGACGGTGCGGACGGCAGTAACAACCACGAGGGAATAAAAGTGATCGCGCTCCCAAGGATTGTGGAAATGAGCAACAACTGGGGGGGGGGGAAAGCACGTGCAAGAGAAAATCCCGAAGGTGCTTTTCCAAAAAGGCAATTGGAATTTCTTTTGGAGGGGAGGGGGGAGGAAAAACTTTGCCTTTTGGAAAAGCAGCTTTGGGACAACTCTAACCTTGGATGATTGAGAATCTCCATAGATGTGCAAGAGAAAGTTGCACCGCAGAGAGGCCGGACAGTTTACTCCCCTGTCGATTTCAGGAGCTGTAGTAATCCCCGAACGCAGCTCATGAGCTCCTCTCCAGCTCATGGCGTTCCTTGTTCGGAAAGACTGGTTGAGCTAGTATAGATACGACGACTCCTTAGGACCTCTGCCGCATTAGCAGAGGAGCAAAGTAACCGAAAGAGCAAACAACCAAACCTGCAGGCTAGTTAAAGGATCTGATATAACGAACCGGTCAGACCGTGGATTCTTTTCGAAAGCAAGAGGACTTAGGAACACATCAATACCATTTCCATTCTGCAGTCAATGCAAATATTTTCAGAAACGGACTTGCGATTGCGTGACAAAGATCCAAACCCCCTTTTTTTTTAATTTGATTTAAATGCCGCCCTTCTCCGGAGACTCAGGGCGGCTTACAATGCGTTAAGCAATAGCCTTCATACTTTTGTCTATTTATACAAAGTCAGCTTATTGCCCCCACAAACTGGGTCCTCAATTTACCCACCTTAGAAAGGATGGAAGGCTGAGTCCGACCTTGAGCCTGGTGAGAATTGAACTCGCAGTAATTGCAGGCAGCTGGATGTTAAATGCTGCCTTAGGAGGCATTAGCCTCCTACGCCACTCAGGCTCCTGAGTCTTTAAAGTCTTTGGACTTTAAAGTCCAAAACCGAATCTGTGGTTGTTAAATCAATCACTGGTTCCTTAATGGTCACTCCTCCCGTTAGAAATTTGCAGAGAGGTTTATTCAGATTCCTCAGATGTGTTCAACCTTTCTGTGGAAAGAAGCATTGGTGGAGAGGAGAAAGTTGTTAGATGCTGAATTGAAAATGGAATCCTCTGGATGGAGTATGGAAAAAGTATGGAGGGCCTTCTCAAGTAACTGCCTGGTGGGCAGAAAAAGTATGGAGGGCCTGGTGGCTCAGCAGACTGATAGCATTGTGATTAACACCCAGCTGTCTGCAATTACTGTAAGTTTGAATCTCCCCAGGCTCAATGTGACTCAGCCTTCCATCCTTTCTAAGGTGGGTAAATTGAGGACCCAGTTTGTGGGGGCAATAAGCTGACTTTGTATAAATAGACAAAAGTATGAAGGCTATTGCTTAACGCATTGTAAGCTGCCCTGAGTCTCCGGAGAAGGGCAGCATATAAATCAAATTTAAAAAAAAATGCTAGGAGTGACAAAACAGCCACAGAGTGGAGGGTTGGCTGAACCTCCTAAGCCCAGGAACACTCTGATAGAATTCAGGGTGTGTCACTCTCTTGTTCCTTGTGGGCTTAGAAAAAGTTCTGTACTGCCCCATCCATGATCAGTCTGTCTTAAATCAAGGACACTGAAATACTGTATAGACATCTTGTAAGCTCATGTGCTTTCAGATCTAATTGTTTTAGTTACCTTACTCAAAGAATGACATGCCAGAAAAATCACAGAAACTGAAAAGGGAATTGTGCATTACATGTGCAAAGCCTTCCTATTATGATCCCTGATGAGCAAATAACACTTGAGTTCCGTGTTGTACAGGTATGCTACCCTCCCTGCCTAAATTTTGCAAAAATGCAATATCTCTTATAAATCAAATTTATTTTGACGTATTACTCTTCTATTTCTCCTTTCCTCTCTTTGCAAATAAATATTTAAAATATATTTTGGTTGGCAGAAGTATGAATTCTAACTATTATCCATCTCCACGTAAGAATTTCAAGCTAAAGCATATTACAATAAGCTGGGAAAATGTAGAGCTTGCTCTTTTGATTCTTTTTTTTAACCAAATTACAGAAGTATATTGATGCATAATGGATCCTTTTCCTTAATCCACATATGGAACATTCCACAAAATTTAGAAACCTTACCTAAAGCATGCATGGGTAAAATCAGGGGTGTCAAACTGGCAGCCCGTGGCCTGGATGCTTCACGTGCATCCCAGGCCCACCCTGGCTCCGCAAAGGCAAAAAAGTTGTGATACGTCACGTGATGCGATCGGGTTTGACATCCGTGGGTAAAATCCCAAAGCTCAAAGTTAAGTTTAGGAGTTACAGCAGTTGTAAACATCTGTACTGAGCAGGTTTTAATTATTTCTTTTATCTTTAAAACAATATAAGACAGACCACAATGTGAATGTAGAAAAAATGTTTTACGTGTCACAGTCTATACATGTCATATGCTGTTAGATATTGAATATTAATAGATCATCAAATAGATTACTCCTATTTCTGTAAGCTTTGTTGGTGGATAATAGAATTTTACTCTTATTTCTATACATGTGAGTTCCACTGTGAAGGAATTCTGTTCTCCTAAAAACCGCAAGTAACAATAACAAGTCAAAGCTCATTCTCCCTGAGAATAATTGAATACCTGAAAGTTACATGCCCTTACCGAGTTAATTGTTGGACATTTTTTTAAATGAAAGTTGCTCATTTGCTAAAGTTAATTCCTCTTCTCAATCTAATTTTAAGCACCTGTGCACTCTGATTCTAATTTTGATTTCACATGTAGTAATCCATGGTTTAAAAGGATTTATTTGTAAACCAATTGGCTGAGTTTATACATTGCAATGCATAAAGCATAGTCTGTAGCTCACAAGAGCTGGGCAACATATTAAATCTAAAATAACAGCACAATGCAAAACCCAGCCTTACTTAAGACCACAATCCTGCTGAGTATTAACTGCAAAGCCCAACTAAACAGAAATGTATTTCTTAGTGGATTTCTGTGGACTTTGAAAGCAATAATAACTAAACATACCAAATATTAATGCGTCATTTGCAGAATATTGCTGTTTTCCATGCATTACAGTTGCTACAATAGGAATCCTTTTCCCCCATTCAAAAAAACTCTTTTAATTCTTGCAACTGCAGGTTAATTGAAGAATCTCAATGTGGGCTTCAAGACACATTCACTTGCAAATTGCTTTATGACACATATGCTAAATACAAATTGTATTTCATTTCAAAGCCAATGAAATACCGGATCCTTAAACTTTCCTTTTTGCTATGGGTCAACTGTGCTTTTAAATTCTACAAGAGTGGCTAGAGCCATTTTTAGTAGGAAAAGTTGCAGAAGTATGAAGTAAAATCTAAAAAGTATTTAAGTGGGATTGTTGGCTGCCATCGTTCAGCTACTTAGCCAGATGTTTTATTTGAATAAGTAAAAAAAAATGTGTTTATTTGCTTAACTGGTAAATGGTTTCTTAAATCACAGTTCGTAGGTTTGTACTATTGTTATTGCTATGGTTTATAGCTTCAGGTTTTATGACCTAAGCCATTTCAGTTCATAATCAGAACTAATTGTGCTTTATTCAGTAAATTATAGTTAAACTATCCATAACTTAACATACAGTCCTAGGTCATAAAACAGTTTGTTCATATTTGTTTTAATGTATTTCTGAATCCAACTATTACCAGGCTCTCCCAGTTAATTCATTTATATACCCCGTGTTGTTATTGTAGCACCCTAGGTGAGTTTGCATGATTCCCCCCAAATGTTGAGGGCCAAAGCGGATGAGAGACTACTAGAAGAATATTTCTAGTACAATTTTGAGCTACTCAGAATTAGATTTAGTTGAAATGTTGTGAAAGCCTGGGGGGAGAGAAGAAAAAGTGTGCACAACAGCTTTTCAAATTGCAGACGTTTTTGGTATTTTATCTTGAGATAGTAAGATTCAGGTGGGACCTTCTGTTATGTAAAACTTGTACTCTACAGTTGAGTGATAATCTTTCTCTCTTAAATGACCTTGGGGCTTTTTACTCCTTTGTCTAAGTTATTTAATTAAGTGCACTGTTGTCCAGATAAAAGTAAGGATTCTTTTCCCTCTTATCACTCTGAGAAAAGGAAATATAATTCTTCCTCAACCCCAGCTGCAAAAATACAAACATTAGATGAGAATGCAAGAGAAATTTTTTAAAAATCTCTAAAACTTTGCTGTCTCCTAGTGATTATCTGGAGTTTGCAGCCCAGATCAACAGGGCATGTCCTGTATGCAGGCCAGCATCCTCCCGAATAAATAAATTGTAGAAGGGATTAAAAAAATAGTTAAAATAGTAGTAAAACATCTTGATTACTCTCAGGAGCAGGCTGAATCTTAATGTAATTCTATTAAGATTTTAAAAAATAAAGGTAACAAAGATCTTCTTTAAAAATCTTAGCATTTAAAATGCTAATAGCTTGATAAGCTAGTTTACATTTATAGGAGGATTTCTGAGAGGAGTAATTCTTCTGGACTGATAGTTTGCCATGGCCTTGATGGGATCATGTGAGATCCTAGCCATAT